TCCATCTATCGAGTTCATAGGCCTGGCTGAGTCCAGTCCAGTCCAGTCCAGTCCAGTCCAGTTTATTTATGAAGCACTAAAACAGCAGAGTGACCAGAGTGCTGTACATAAAGACGTTCAAAAATATACAATTATGAAGTGATTTTGTATTTTAATCTGTAGCACTTTGAGGTTTCCTGTAATTGTAAGTTGCTGTATAAATAAAATGTATTATTAACATTAGTTTCACATGAATGTATTTTTGTCATGACACAGATGGTACAGGACACACACAACAACAAAAACACACTCGGACATAACACAAACCTATACTGTGTTTTTCGCTGCTTTTATCCCTCTACATTTTTTAATAATACTTGTCTAAAACACGCGGGAGCCTTTAGCACATGTATTCCAGTGGGGTTTTACTGCAGAAGGCAAATAACATGAACTGTATATTATTATATATTTATATGATTGTATTGTGAGAACTACAGGTGGTAAGAAGCTGCTGCTAGATCTGGGGCTGTACCTTTTTAACTGCACATTGTCCTTCATAAATCAAAACTCAAACTTCAATAAATCACGAGACAGCGACACGCGGCTGATGCGGCTGATGCGGCGGCGGCGTTTGAGTGGCTTCACACTATTACTTCAAACATAGACCCAGGACGACCATACATTTCTCCACAAAGAGCGTGTTTATTTTGATACAGAGGATAATTGGATTCCTGTGCTTTAGGGCAGAGCGTCATTCTTCAAAATAAAGACCTGCTGTTGTCAGAGCTTTTCATTTTACACTTGTCAGAAGAAGATCATTATGTTCAGATCTGTCAAAGATGCAATAACAACCACGGTTCGCAGTGAAATATCGAGCTGAGGACGCAGACGCTGGGAATAGTTTGCACTTGGAAATGCAAAAGCTTTGGTGAAAAGCAGAGAAACGCAGAGAAACGCAGAGGTGTGGCGGCGGAGCTGGGGCCGCGGTGGTTTTGTTTTTGATGATGTCGCCAAATGATGTGTTTGTAGGATTAGGACTCGGTGTGTTTTGACTCAAACACAAAAACCAGCGGCGTTCTCATGAATAAGACTTTAATATGAATGTGTAATTACACCTGGCATCGGTTTAGTGGCCCCTGCGGTGATTCTGAATTAGTATGATTAACCTGCAGCGTGGATGGTTGTGTGTTGCTATGGTTACCGCGGCATGTTCGGAACATCTTGGACCAATGTAATCTTTGCGGCTTCTGAAAAACACAAGTTTATTCTTGTTCCAAATGTGGTTTATATTCAAAGCATTTCTCACTTCCTGTTACTATAAAACTAAAACAGAGAGCGTCCCACTGCAGCAGCATGAGGGCATCATGTTGTTTATCTATTTTAATGAATCCTAACGTTTACACTCATGAAAAAGATCAAAATGACCCTAAACCAGGGGTGTCAAACTTATTTTGGTTGAGGGCCAAAAAAAAAATTAAAGGGCCGTTCAGGGGCTGAAAGAAAAAGTGGGTTTCATTTTTTATACTTTTTATAATATGAAGGTATCTATATAAATGACTTGTTTCACATTAGTTGGACTGGATATTCTTTTCTGATTAGATTTAGTTCAGTTCCTGTGGACTGGACCAAAACTGGACCAAATATTGAAGGTTAATGGGAAGATTTTCTACTTCCGGGTGGATCATCAGACTATTGGTCCTCCCAATTGTCAATCATTCTGGGGATTCGTGCTCGTCAAATAAGACCAGAGAGTTTTGTTCAAAAAGTGGAGAGGGCGTTTTTTTTACGAACAAATTGGGGAATCCTCCTTGAAATGTAAAAACATAGCATAACAACTAACTTCTAATTACATGTTGGCTTAACATTTCTTGAGGAATTAAATATTATGGTATTCTTGAGAAAATTAGTAATGGATAACATGCCATTGTCGCCTAATACCGTCAATGCTGCAATTTAATATAAAAATGTAAGATAATCTCAGGGGCCACTGGAAATGTTCTCGCGGGCCGGATCTGAACCCCCGGGCCTTGACTTTGACACCTGGGCCCTAAACCATGGATTTCTATTTTTCACTAAACAAAACTCTGTCTCCTCACTACACAACACTGTCTCCTTACTAAACAACACTGTCTCCTCACTACACAACACTGTCTCCACACTACACAACTCTGTCTCCTCACTACACAACACTGTCTCCTCACTACACAACACTGTCTCCACACTACACAACACTGTCTCCACACTACACAACACTGTCTCCTCACTACACAACACTGTCTCCTCACTACACAACACTGTCTCCTCACTACACAACACTGTCTCCTCACTACACAACACTGTCTACTCACTACACAACACTGTCTCCTCACTACACAACACTGTCTCCTCACTACACAACACTGTCTCCTCACTACACAACACTGTCTCCTCACTACACAACACTGTCTCCTCACTACACAACACTGTCTACTCACTACACAACACTGTCTCCTCACTACACAACACTGTCTCCACACTACACAACACTGTCTCCACACTACACAACACTGTCTCCTCACTACACAACACTGTCTCCTCACTACACAACACTGTCTCCTCACTACACAACACTGTCTCCTCACTACACAACACTGTCTACTCACTACACAACACTGTCTCCTCACTACACAACACTGTCTCCTCACTACACAACACTGTCTCCTCACTACACAACACTGTCTCCTCACTACACAACACTGTCTCCTCACCACACAACACTACTGTAGGGTAGGAAAATTGTAGTGTAGAGCGGCTAGTCTCCAGATCAGAGTCTCGCCGTCCTACACAAGTGGGATCTGAGTTTTATTTTGGGCACCAGCAGAGTTTGAAAGAGTCTGCACAGATCCAACTATTCTGCCTCGATTCAGTCTTACAATCTGATAGGTTGTGGGTACGGAATCAGCCAGGGACATCAAAGAGTGGAAACGGGACGCTTAAAGATGATTTGGTTTTAACGTGGGTTTATTGACTACATACGAAAATAGAAAAATATCAACGAAAGGGTTTTGGTCACATTAACGGAGATGTTATGCATATCATACGAATCACACATTAACGTGGAACAGTCTTACTTTGAGCAGTTCGGATGGAGGGATGGTGATGAAGAAAAGTGAAGAATGATGAGGATGAAGGATGGAGATGGAGGAGAGGCGAGGCCGGCAGTCCGCGTGTTCCTTTGTCCGAACAGAGAGGAACAAGAAAGCCAACGACTCGAGTCCAGAACTTTAATTCCACACCCACTTTCGCCTTTCTAGAATAGCGATGCGGGAGGAGAGGTCCAGAGCCGGAAAAGTGGCTGATGATGGAGCAGTTCGTGGTCTCCGACAGCGGTATCGTGGGCTGTCCTCGCGGAGGTGGAGAGGCCTCAGTGGGTTACAGGCGCGGGTCGTAGTAGGAGACACGTACTCGCGGAGGTCGTTACAGTAATTTCAGGGATTCCAAGAGGGCGATCTCTGGGTTGTGCGTGTTTTTATTGACTTCCAAAGGAGGCGCGTCCGTGACGTCATCCTTGTGCGCCTCCCTGGACATCCTTCACAACAGACATGTTATAATGGCAAAACGCAGGATTAATACAGACATTCATAACACATGTACAGGCACACACCGCATTTACATTACTGATAATGATACACACGTGTAGGGCACAGTACAGGTTATCAGAATAATGACTTCACGAGTGCTGGTTTAGAATGTCCGTCTCGGGTGTGATAGTGTTCAGTGTCCACTGAGGGGCGTCAGAACGCCGTTGGTGGCTCGCCAGCTGTCCAAAGGCAAGGAATGTCCCCTGGAGTGAGAGCAGACTTTGATCTCTGTTCTCGCCAGGGAAAAGGGCAGAGATGTTTACGCTCCGTAGTCGATTCATTGCTCCAAAACCGACAGTCGTTATCTCTATGACCGATGAGAGCTCTCTGTTCGACCTCTTTATGGCTTAGATGTCTGCTCTGGGAGGGACATTCCCAAAGTCTTATCGGAGCTGGTTAGTGTCCTGGCGGGGTCAGTTTCGGCCCATGCTCCGTGCCTTGTGCTCTCTTTTTGTCACCTTACACTACACAACACTACACAACATAACACAACACTAAACAAAGCCTCTCCACTGAAAGCTTTCAAACCAAGGAGGCGTCTACACCAGAATGATTGACAGTCAGGAGGCCCAATCAGGAGGTCCAATCAGGAGACCCAATCAGGAGGCCCAGTCAGGAGGCCCAATCAGGAGGCCCAATCAGGAGGCCCAATCAGGAGGCCCAATCAGGAGGTCCAATCAGGAGACCCAATCAGGAGGCCCAGTCAGGAGGCGCAGTCAGGAGGCCCAGTCGTCTTGATGAACCCAGAAGAAGACATTCCTCGTGTATAGCTTTAAAGACAGATTCAGAGATTGGTCGTTGTAAAAACACTGAAAAATACCATTTCTAAATCATTGAATTTTAAAAGACCACATTTTCTCTCTCTTTCAGCCTTGAGGATACAGACTTTACAGATTCAGAAAAACCATTTTCACCTGTGCCCGTTCTCAGCACACTGGCTCTTTGTGTGTTTGGAGTTTGTGGAGAATCCTCGCAGCAGGTTTGAGCCTCTGCAAACTCAAACGAATTCCCTAAAAATGTTGAATAGACACATTTCACTGATGGCACTGCCCTGAGGCCTCGACTTGTGCCACGCTCAGCCGGTCCCACAGAGCCCCACAGCCAACGGGTTTATCTGGGACTTTCTTCCATGTTTTGACCATTGAAAATAATAATGAGACTATTTACTTGAAATGTTGTAAAATATATATATTAGTTAGAACAGGGTCAAAGAAGTATGAGTGGGTCCTATGTTCCCACCGAGAGAGATTTCTGCTCAGAATTGTAAAGATTAGCAGCTAAAACCAAGGCCATTGTGCCAGAATGGGATAACGGCATCATTCAAATTCAAATAACTTTATTAATCCGTGAGGACAAAGCACCGGTGGGGGTACGTAAAAAGACAGAAATATGAATACTCCATCATACAGGACCAATGTCACGCTCATGGGATCTCAGAAACTCAGCAAAATGGGGATGGGTCTGATTCAAATCGGAAACTCGGGCTGAGACTCGGGCTGAGACTCGGGCTGAGACTCGGGCTGAGACCCGGGCTGAGACTCTGAGACTCGGGCGGAGACTCGGGCTGAGACTCGGGCTGAGACTCGGGCTGAGACTCGGGCTGAGACTCGGGCTGAGACTCGGGCTGAGACTCTGAGACTCGGGCGGAGACTCGGGCTGAGACTCGGGCTGAGACTCGGGCTGAGACTCGGGCTGAGACTCGGGCTGAGACTCGGGCTGAGACTCGGGCTGAGACTCGGGCTGAGACTCGGGCTGAGACTCGGGCTGAAAGTCCGGGGAGCAAAAGTGGCTCAGTTGGTAAAGTATTTTGACCTAATGGCCGTGGGTTTAAATCCACCACCACCTGCTCCCACTGCTGTCTGCTGCCATTGTGTGCCTGGGCAAGACACTTAACCCCACTTTACCTGATGACTGAGCGGCCATCTTGCTGTGGACCCACGGGAAACTGACGAATACAGGGGTAGAAAACTACACGATGACAGACTGAAACTCAATGCTCCCAAAGTTGTAACTGAACGAAAAATGGAGACACACTGAGAGGATGCGACATATTTAAGCACGATTTTCAACCACAGAGAGGTGTAATGTTCCAGTTCCTATTAATCTACATAAACACACAGAGAGTTGAGAGAAAAAGACATGTTATATAAAACATGCTATGGACTGTAAATACCAGATGTGACAGTATAAAAACATGCTATGGACTGTAAATACCAGATGTGACAGTGATGGAGAACCAGCCGTGGGTAAACCAGAAGGAAACAGCTCTGGGATTGTTGGAGTGGATTCTATAAAAGGCTGGTTTTGTTCTTTTTTGCTTCATTGATCTACAATGCTTGGTTCTTTCTATACAACTGGTGTTTTCCACATTAGAACTGACGAAATACTTTGGAACTCAGCTGGAAATGTGTTTTCCTTCCATTTGAAAGATGAAAAAGCCTCTCACTGGCGCTCGCTGCAGCCTTGAGTCGACAGAATCTCTTCAATGCAAACACTCAGGGTTCAGTCTCGTCTCCGCTGCTGTTAAAACTACTTTACAATCTTTCTTTCACCAAAACATGATTTGTTTGTCGACTTCACGCAGAGATGTATCCGTTGGATTCTGCCGGACGTCTTCATAGATTTGAGTTTGTCGTAGAAAGTGTGTCTAAACTCCTGCGTCCTCGATCTTCAGGTCGTATTCTTTGTATTCAGAGAGTTCCTCACGACACGTTTCTGCGTGTTTTCATAGACGGAGAAATATCTGCTCTGTGGGAACAAAAGTCTCTGACAGACACATCATCAAAGATCACAGGACCATATCAGGCACAGACAGTGTCACTTTCACTGAATCAAAATAATCGTAAACTTTCTGCATTTGGTCAAGGCTCTCAAAGACCGAACACCAGAGTCTCGGTCAGAGTGAACTGTCTGGTTCCTAACAACGGAGCCTCAGTCGGTGGGGACTGTCTGGTTCCTCAGTCCAGAACCTCGGTCAGTGGGACTGTCTGGTTCCTCAGTCCAGAGCCTCGGTCAGTGGGACTGTCTGGTTCCTCAGTCCAGAACCTCGGTCAGTGGGGACTGTCTGGTTCCTCAGTCCAGAGCCTCGGTCAGTGGGGACTGTCTGGTTCCTCAGTCCAGAACCTCGGTCAGTGGGGACTGTCTGGTTCCTCAGTCCAGAGCCTCGTTGGGACAGTCCAGCTTCCCACTGATCTAAAAGTACAAACAAACATCTCCATCAGACGTCTGAAGCTGTGGCTGAAGTCAGAGCGACATAGTTCTCATGGTTAATGACCTGTATATTTAATTATTAATTATATTTGTAAATGATAAATGTGTGCATTTGTGTCCTCAAAGCCTCCGATGGACAAGTGTTGAACATGAGCCTGGTCTTGCACTAAAGGCCTCTGCTCTGTCCAATGGAACTGTTGTGTCCATATCACATAAATGTAAAACATGAATGAATAATAAAAGGTCCTTTCTTTGCAAAACTGAATCAAAATCCTTTTCACTGATGTCAAACTGATACTTTCCTGTTGTGTTTGGTATTGGATTGCCTGATGGTCTTGTTGTGGCAATGAATTAAGAAAATAGATTTGTTTTTCCAGGTCCATTATGCCCAAAGAAATTCCAAGTCTGTGACTTCCTGTTACTTACGTGGCAATAAAAACTATTCTGATTCTGATTTTGAAGCCGCAGATCTCCAAGATGGCGGCCCGGTCAGTTCAATGCTCCACGCTCATTACTGTATAATTGTCCACCCCAGAAAAGGAGTGGAAGTTTATGTAGCATTTTAGCTAGCCCTGCTCCTCCGGGACATGAGCAGTAGGTGCGGTGTTGCCACGGACCAATCAGAGCGTGGTAATGAGAGTGGACCAGAGCGGGACGAATATCTAACCAGATATTTCCTCATCTCCTTTACACCTGATGCCCGCTCAGGTCTGCAGAGAACCTGACAGAGAACCTGACAGAGAACCTACAGCTTTCACAAAGGTTGGATTTTGTGGGGATTCTAGAGTCCCTGGTTGTCCTGAACTTTTCTTTAAATCCACTCTTTACTGCCACAAACTCTACCTCGTCTGGCTCCCGCTTTAGCTCCGCTCTGATTGGTCAGAACCCCTTCAATTGGTCAAAGCGCGGCCGAGCCACTCTGTGCACGTGGGAGCTCGTCCACTGCACAGAACCTGAAGACGATGCCCAAATATGGCCGACTTCCATGAATCTAAACATGCCATTCATTTGAATACGGCGCCATCTTGGCTCAGCGGGGCTTGGTCTGATCTTAGCAGCTGCAGCTTCCTGGGCTGGTGCTGGGACTGACTGCATTGACCATGAACTCGTCCAGTAGAACCCGTCACTTCCAGGTCTTTTATCAGATTTTAGATTTAGAATTGTTGTTAGGATTATCTTTGCAGATATTGAGACTTTCATTTTGATCTGTATCCTGTGCTACCTTCAGTTTTTCTAATATTCCCACATTTGTTCCGGGGCAGTTTTAGTCTCTGAGCTGTACAAAACTCTACGAGATCATCTGCTAGTTCTGTTCTTGTTATGATATTATTTGTGTTATTTTTATGTTTACTTCTGTGGCTCTAAACAGTTTTCTCTCTCTATGGAGATTCCTCTGATGGTGTTGTGGCCGTGAAAAGGATTCCAGGTGAAAATAACCTTTGTGAGTGGATTCACCTCCACATAGATCCGACCCGGAGCCGGCTCCTCTCTGCGCCAAGATTGATTCTCTTTGTGATAGTCTGAGATATTCCACAGAATATAAACCTGACACAGACAGAATGCTAAAAACACACAGACCACAGAAGACTTTGGAGCAAAGCAAATCTCAATGTTTTTTTATGCTCTGATATTTTGGAGGATTATGGTTCAAGGACTGGTGACACATTCCACTAAATTTATAGAAATTACAATAAACATAATCACATCCTTTTGAATCCACTCACAGAGAGATGGACGCTTAAATCAGGAGTGATCGCAGCATTCTGTCTCCTCAAGGATGCCACAACACTTATTCAAAGTCAGACCCACAATTACTGCTTGACAAGGCCTCGTTCAGCCGTTCACCAGAAACACTTTATTTTCTTTGGCATTTAAAGCTGAGGTACTTAACTTTTTGTGTTGTTTTGTCCCAATAGAAAGAGAAAGAAAAACATTGTGGAAGAAACAAGCTTCTGTCATAAAACATGTTTAATGTTGGATACTGTGCCAAGCTGCTGTTGTGTCCTTAGGCAAGACACTCCACGTCCATTAGAATGAGTCTGGTGTGTGTGTGAATGGTTGGTGGTGGTCGTTTCTGTCAGTGTGCCCCAGGGCAGCTGTGGCTACAGTAGTTTATCACCACCGTTTGAGTGAATGAATAATGACATCTTTGAGAGTCCACACAAGTGCTGTATAAAAAAAATGCATTATTATTCTTATTATATTATATTATTATTATTCTTATTATATCATTATTTTTATTATTATTACTATCATTATTTGTATTATTATTATTATCATTATTTTTTATTATTATTATTATCATTATTTGTATTGTTATTATCATTATTTTTAGTATTGTTATTATATTATTATTATAAACATTATTATTCCTTTTATTATTATTATTATTATTTGATTAATTGGAACTACATATACTGTATGAGAGTTGGTTTCTGTGAATCAGATGATCTTTTGCATCTGTGACTATATTTTGTTTAACCTTCTACAACATGAAAGATACTTAGAGATTTTCAACATTTTTAATTTGAATCATTATGGATATCATTTTGTGGGTGCAGCTCTGACTGCCACCCCCCGACCCAGAAATGGATTGAGGGGAAGAAAATGGATGGATGTTGATTTTTAGTTGTTTTTAGATTTGACATCTTTCTCCCAAAGCTGGACTAAAGCTAAAGAAGCAAGTTCAGGGTGAATAAGCTAAAACATGCCGTTGTACCTTCTTTGGGTTTGATTCTTGTTAATTTAAAGATGCCGTAAGTAATTTATCCAGACGCAACTTTTAAAATACTGTGGGAAACGAGCCTAAACCCAAAGTTCATGTGTTTTCAAACCGGAACAGACCAGACGCCTGTCGCCTCGGAGCAGAAGTCATATATATTTAGGACCAGACTGACAGAACCAAACCTGAGTTGTTGCTGAGGGTCTGATTTTCTAAAACACCTAAAACGGCCGAACAGAAAGTGCCAATTTCACGTTTGACACTCGCCTGTTGTGGCAAAGACCAGAAAACCACATGAGGAAAAAGGCCTCGTACAAAAAGACTCAGGTCAACATCAGGACATTGTGTCAGTGCTGCTGCTGATCCAGACATGTCCAACCTCAGGCCCAGGGGCCAATCACGGCCCTCTGTGTTCTCTCATGTGGCCCTCTGCTGCTAACACAAAGTCTCCATTGAGGCTCTTTGACAGTGTCATCCAGCCAACTTCAGCTCCACCAACACAGTCATGCTACACCTTGTTGTAAACCTCAGACTCTCTGGAATCATTGACTCTTGTTATTTACAGACATTTGTTTATGATCGTGTCACAACATTCCACATAAAACACAGCTGTGAATCAGAAGGACGTGTCATTACTCATTTGAAATTCTAGAATCCAGTCCAGATTTTTAAGTCCAGGTTCACATCCAGGTTGTCGGTCCCAGGTTAAGTCTGATGAACTAAAGTGGGCCTCCTACTAAAAAGTCTGGACACCCCTGTGCTAAGCTAACCTGAATCCTTTACTGCACTGGTTTTGAGGGAGTCCATAAACACAGAACACAGTACAACACACAAACAGGACGGTCACACACTGAACTAAACTGAACTGAACTGGACTGGACTGGACTGGACTGGACAAACTTGCTCCATCAAAAAATCAATACAAAAAAATACAAAAGAAAAAATACAAAAAGGCAAACTTAAAAACATGAACAAGAGTATTACATACAGTAACAAGTGGCAATGAAAGACAGAGCAGTGTAAAGAACGAGTGGCTAAAGCGAAACCGTTCCAGGCCTTACCATTGCCCAGGTCTGATTCTAAACCGTTCCAGGCCGTACCATTGCCCAGGTCTGATTCTAAACCGTTCCAGGCCGTACCATTGCCCAGGTCTGATTCTAAACCGTTCCAGGCCGTACCATTGCCCAGGTCTGATTCTAAACCGTTCCAGGCCGTACCATTGCCCAGGTCTGATTCTAAACCGCTCCAGGCCGTACCATTGCCCAGGTCTGATTCTAAACCGTTCCAGGCCGTACCATTGCCCAGGTCTGATTCTAAACCGTTCCAGGCCGTACCATTGCCCAGGTCTGATTCTAAACCGTTCCAGGCCGTACCATTGCCCAGGTCTGATTCTAAACCGTTCCAGGCCGTACCATTGCCCAGGTCTGATTCTAAACCGCTCCAGGCCGTACCTTGGCCCAGGTCTGATTCTATACCGTTCCAGGCCGTACCATTGCCCAGGTCTGATTCTAAACCGTTCCAGGCCGTACCATTGCCCACGTCTGATTCTAAACCGTTCCAGGCCGTACCATTGCCCAGGTCTGATTCTAAACCGTTCCAGGCCGTACCATTGCACAGGTCTGATTCTAAACCGTTCCAGGCCGCACCATTGCCCAGGTCTGATTCTAAACCGCTCCAGGCCGTACCATTGCCCAGGTCTGATTCTAAACCGTTCCAGGCCGTACCATTGCCCAGGTCTGATTCTAAACCGCTCCAGGCCGTACCATTGCCCACGTCTGATTCTAAACCGTTCCAGGCCGTACCATTGCCCAGGTCTGATTCTAAACCGCTCCAGGCCGTTCCTTTGCCCAGGTCTGATTCCAAACCGTTCTAGGCCATACCATTGCACAGGTCTGATTCTAAACCGTTCCAGGCCGTACCATTGCCCAGGTCTGATTCTAAACCGTTCCAGGCCGTACCATTGCCCAGGTCTGATTCTAAACCGTTCCAGGCCGTACCTTGGCCCAGGTCTGATTCTAAACCGTTCCAGGCCGTACCATTGCCCAGGTCTGATTCTAAACCGTTCCAGGCCGTACCTTGGCCCAGGTCTGAGTCTGTGTTTTCAGTCTGGTTGTTTGGGAGTCTAACTTGACTCGTGCCGGTCCCCTCTCCTCGCTCTGTGTCATTACGTTCCTTTGCCTCTCAGCGCGACCTACATTCAACACACAAAGAAAATGATAAGAGACAATTCTCTTTCTTCAACAGTATTTTTTCTCCTCCTGTTCTCGTCAATCGCCACAAACCGCGGCTCAAAACTAGCTCTGATTTGCATGTTTTTTAAGCTGGGGACACACACAAAGACACACATACACAGACACACACAGATACACACAGACACACACATACATACACAGACACACATATACGGCAAACAAACACACACGCACGTACACACACACACATGCACGTACACACGCACACACATGCACGGCACAGACACACACACACAGCAATCACTCACACACACGGCACACACACACAACACACACACGCACGGCACGCACGCACACACACACAGCACAGACACACGCACGGGACACACACACAGGCACACACAGCACACATGGTGCACACACACATGCACACACACACACAGACACACACACACACATACACCTGGCACACACACACACACATGCACACACACACCTGCACACACACACACACACACAGTACACACACGGCACACACACACACAACACACACACACACACACACACACACACACACACACACACCACACACACACACACACACACACACCACACACACACGGCACGGTGGCTGAGTGGATAGCACTCTCGCCTCTCAGCAAGAAGGTCCTGGGTTCGAATCCCGGTCGGACCAGGGCCTTTCTGAGTGGAGTTTGCATGTTCTCCCCGTGTCTGCGTAGGTTTCCTCCGGGTACTCCGGTTTCCCCTACCACTAAAAATATGTCCAATAGTTCTGGCATGCGCCTCCTGTTCGGCGACCCCGCTCCCATCTCTGTGTGGAGTGAGAGACAAATGCCCAAAAAAAATTAACAATTGTAAACCGCTTTGAGACTCAGATCTGCAGTGAAAAGGCGGTATATAAATAAAAACTTACTTACTTACACACACACACACACACACACACACACACACTCGACGCAGATCTCTGGGAGCAAACCGTACGTTGGAGGGAGATTCTTCTAATCCGTTGCTGCTGAGCGACGTGGATCCAAGGTCAGTGCTGAAGAAGAGGAGGCCGCTCTTCATCACATCAGAGAGGATTTGGGAGCAGAGGCTATTGTCTTTTACACACTATATATTCATGAGCGCGTACGCACACATGGTTCTATAAGTCGCACAATAACTCCATACGCCGGAGAACAATGCCAGAATTTTATTGTGGTAAATGTGTGAAGATGGAACCATGGGAGTTTGAATAATAATAAGGTCTTTATAGTCTGATTGATAGTTTTATTTTACTCACATCAACAAAGTCACAGTTCAAACTATTTAATGTCATGAATTGCAACCATCCATCCATTATCTTCCCCTTAATCCATGTCTGGGTGGGCAGTGGCATCCAGTACACAGAGCACCACCTCACTGATCCTCCTGCAGGAGCCTTAGTCTTTCAGCGGGGGCTTCAGGCAAAGTGGGGTTAAGTGTCTTGCCCAAGGACACAACGACAGCAGACATCAGTGGGAGTCGGTGGAGAAGGTTCTGTGTGGGGATTGAGCCCACGACCTTCAGGCTCAAAGGCCAATGCTCTACACACTGAGCCAAAGATTGCAACCAAAGAAGGAACAGGCAGAGGCCATGTTTGTTTCAGCCTTTTCTAATCTACTCCAATATTTCTAACCGGATGTATGTGTATGTGAACCATTAGTTTTAAATTATAACAACAACGAATCTTATGTTATTTCAATCAATAATCTCACTCCAAGAACAGAAACACACTTTGATTTCACACAAGTTCTTTTTTCAGATTCAAAATAATAGTGGTTGAATAACTTTTATAAATTCCTTTAATTCTTAACTATCACAATAATTCAACTTTTACACTTCTTTTTTATTTTTTATTATTATTATGTTCAAGATAGAGATTTTATTCTTTTTATTGATGCTAGAGTTAGAGATTTAGTTTTATTTTAATTAGTATATCTATTGTTCACTTATCTTGTGCCGTGTGCTCCTCTTTCCTACTGTTCTGTAGCTTGTGATGCAACACTGACATTTCTCCACTGTGGGACCAATAATGGATCTCTTCATCTTCATTTTGATCCTAATCATATGAAAAATAAATTCCGTCTTTCTTGGTATCCGTCCTCTTCTGCTGTGACTCTTCTGTGGTGTTCCCCAGGGCTCCATTCTGGGACCAATGGTAGTTTTATATATTTTCACTGAGGTCAGTTATTATCAACAACTTCTGCTCACTGTTAACAGACGAGAGGCTGACCCTGAACACAATTATATATCAACATTTACAGATACTAAATTAAATATACAGTCAATGTGTCTTTGAGTTCCTTTTTGACGTGGTTCACAGGTTTAGGTTGATTTTCTATGGTTATCTGGTATGGAGGACCGTGGCTGCCAAAACAATAAATATATACAGAAATAAATAAATACATTTAAAAAAGAGAACATTTGCAAAGAAAAGCATGCAATTATGAGAATAAGTGCATTTATTTCTGTATTTATTTATTTATTTTTGTATTTATTCATACATTTATTTCTGCATTTATACATGTATTTCTCTATTTCTCTATTTATTTATTTCTCTATTGATTTATATATTTATTTATTTCTGTATATATTTATTGTTTTGGCAGCCACGGTCCTCCATAATCTGGGACCTGTGTTTCTTTAATGATGTTTTTTGAGGTTTTTTTTATTTGCGTCCTAATAAAAGCTGGAGATGTTATACTTGCTTGTTTATGATGCTAAAGTTAGAGTTGTTAATGTTATCTTTTTTTAGTATAGAGTTATTGTTCCTGCAGTTCTGTAACCGCTGATACAACACTGACATTTCCGCACCGTGAGACATCAATCAAAGCCGTCGTTGTTAATCGTTCAAACCTCTGGACTTTTCCTTTTTGAACAGACATTTTGTTGTTAGTGTTTTAGATTTCTCAGACGTTTTTAGATCAGTTGTTCAGGCGTCTCGGGACAAGTGCGTTCAGCAATTAGAACATCCAGGTCACACACAGTTTCAGGCACAGAACCAGAAAAGTCTTTGATCTGTTGATGGTGTGAAGGAACCTACAATTAGACCTCCTGTAGCGACTTTAGAAAACGACATAATTCTGATACAAAACATGCACTGATGAGTAAAGTCAGTCCTGTGCGAGGTGTGAGGTCTCTTTGAACAGGACGTTATGGATAAACTGTTGTTGTGTCTTTAAGCAAAACACTTCATCCACATTGTGTTTATGAATGGGTTGTGAGAGTGGATGGTGGGGGTTGGATCAGTCTCATGCAGGGCAGCTGTGGCCATAAAGGTAGCCACAAGTGTTGACGATCAGATATTACCGTAACTGTTAAGACGAGGGCCGGGACATAAAAACATCACACTAATCAATTAGTAAGTAAGTAATGTTTATTTATATAACGCATTTCACAGACCAAGGTACAGACCCAAAGGTACAGACCAAAGTACAGACCCAAAGGTACAGACCCAAAGGTACAGACCCAAAGCACTTTCCAATGTTCAGAGTCAGATATTGTTCCAATCCTTCCACACACGGTGATGACAGAAGCAAGTCCAGAACACACTGGACCATCAAAGCCTCTGACCCAACACCATCATTCACTCTCTCATTTACATTCAGACCTATTGTGAATGTTTTTAGTGGTAGGGGAAACCGGAGCACCCAGAGGAAACCTACGCAGACACGGGGAGAACATGCAAACTACACTCAGAAAGGGACCTTCTTGCTGAGAAGCGAGACCTAGTTTTCACCGACCCTTGGACCGTGACCTCCCTCAGGTTCATGAAGGTGTTACATTTGGTTCGATTCTTGATGTTTTTCTGATGATCCACTGAGGACCATGTGGACTTTATGCACAGTTTGTTGGAAGGAAAGAAATACATGATTAAAAGTTATTAGTTCTGAGTAATGCAGATGGTACAGATCCATTCATCCATTTCTTCTCCTTAATCCATTTCTGGGTCGGGGGGGTGGCAGTCAGAGCTGCACCCAGTCACAGAGCACCAGCCCCTCACTGATCCTCCTGCAGGTGGTGAGTCCACAGGAGCTGAAATCTTTCAGTGGGAGCTTTGGGCAAAGTGGGGTTAAGTGTCTTGCCCAAGGACACAACAACAGCAGTCATCAGTGGGAGTCGGTGGAGAAGGTGATGAGGTGGAAATTGAACCCATGACCTTCAGGCCTCAAGGCCAGTGCTTTCCCAACTGAGCGACTGTCGTGCCCAGACAGTACGGATCCATCTGGCACAAATGTGATCTTGTTCATTACATCATATTGGAATTGTCACATATAATTACTTATTGCTCATGTTATTTGTCAGAACCTTGTTTACTTTGACCGTTCTCGCTCGTGGGCCTTTCTTCTTTCGAGGACGCACCATCAGAATGTCTTCAGCAGCGTCTATGATTTGAAGCTTCTCTTAATGCGGTCTGTACGTAAATGACGCGAAGTATGGAAACACAAGCACAGGCTCAATGGGGAAGGGCTCAAGGGGGAAGTGCTCAAGTGGGAAGGGCTCAATGGGGAAGGGCTCAAGGGGGAAGTGCTCAAGTGGGAAGGGCTCAATGGGGAAGGGCTCAAGGGGGAAGTGCTCAATGGGGAAGGGCTCAAGGGGGAAGTGCTCAAGTGGGAAGGGCTCAAGGGGGAAGGGCTCAAGTGGGAAGGGCTCAAGGGGGAAGGGCTCAAGGGGGAAGGGCTCAAGGGGGAAGGGCTCAAGGGGGAAGGGCTCAATGGGGAAGGGCTCAAGGGGGAAGGGCTCAAGGAGGAAGGGCTCAAGGGGGAAGGACTCAAGGGAGAAGGGCTCAATGGGGAAGAGCTCAAGGGGGAAGGGCTCAAGGGGGAAGGGCTCAATGGGGAAGGGCTCAATGGGGAAGGGCTCAAGGGGGAAGGGTTTCATTGGTGCCTGTTCCCTGTGTGCGAGTGATGCCCTGTCTTCATACTTTACATTACTTGCTGGTGCGTGTGTAATCGGTGCATGACATGTATGAACTCTGAAACATTATGCCTGCTACCCACCCTGACCTTAGCGATCGACGCATTGAACATCCCTGAATTAGAGGGTTAGTAATTAAAATTAATCTCTAGCTTTAGCATAATAAAGAAGCTAGTATAAAATCTGTAGCTTTAGCATAATAAAGAAGCTAGTATAAAATCTGTAGCTTTAGCATAATAAAGAAGCTAGTATAAAATCTGTAGCTTTAGCATAATAAAGAAGCTAGTATAAAATCTGTAGCTTTAGCATAATAAAGAAGCTAGTATAAAATCTGTAGCTTTAGCATAATAAAGAAGCTAGTAAAACATCTGTAGCTTTAGCATAATAAAGAAGCTAGTATAAAATCTGTAGCTTTAGCATAATGAAGAAGCTAGTATAAACAAGTATAAGATCTGACTCTAGCATTTACAAATGTATTTAATGTAAAAATAAGAGTTTACAGTTGCTGCTAACTGTTTTCTCTCCTCTCCACGTTCTGACATAAACACGGTGCTTTTCTGTATCTCCGCTGTTCTCCGGTCATTACACGGAGAGTGCAAAGGTCAAGGCGTTACGGCGTGTTGTGATTTCAGCCTTTGTTGAAATTATTCACACCCATCGACGGCCCAAGGATAAGAGCTGTGCTTTTGTAAGGGCTTATCTCACTCAGGCTGCTGCTGCTTTTAAAATGATTGCGAAGCATCTGTGCATGAAGGTCGATGGCAGCTATGTTAGCACTACTCCAGCGCGGGCTAGCACCAAGGTTAGCTGTAATGGCGAGCAGCGTACTCTTCATCTAATATTGATGCGGTTAACAGACGAGAAGTGGCCGGCCCGGCGGAGGCACAAGACAAAGAGCAGATGGAGGTTCACCGCGGGAGAGCAGGAATCTGGTTGAAAAATCAGCCGTGTGTGCAGAAAGCTGCTCGGCGTCTTGGCTTCGTTCGGCGGAAACCATAAATAAACCGTGCTCAAGCAGAAATAAAAATGGTTTTAATTATTTGTGTTGACTAATACACACGTCTGGATATTCTGATTTAATGCAATGCTTTTATCAACATGTATGGACATTGGTCTCTGTTCTTTATAAAACAATGGCTCTATGTGTTTTAATCGGTTCATTTCTTGTGTTTGAACTCTGAGATTCTTGAGATTAAGTTTAAAATATTCTTCATTTGTCCCACTGTTGGTACATATCAATCTGTAAACTTTTCTTTCATCCTTGCAAGTGGATGTGTGAAGACATTTGGTTTTCTATTTTAAAAATAGAAATAAATGTGCAGCTCATGCCTCTGGAGTTTTCAGAAACTGGAGGATTTTTAACTCAACTCAAAAGCGTTCCCTCAGGGGAAAATGTTTCACTGCTCCACCACACGCAAACCAAACACAATGCAACACCAAACTACACAACGAATGGCCTCAGACACGGCTTTTGTTTTGGACAAACAGGTTTCCATAAAAAGAAACAAAACAAAAGGACAGAACACACTGAACAGAGTCTGTGAAGAACTAGGACCAATAAAAAGAGTCTGTGAAGGAAGTACAGTCGTTCTGCAACTTTGTGGATCTGGGAAGTGTTGTTCTCAGACCTCAGACGATGGTCTCTCAGACCTCAGACGATGGTCTCTCAGACCTCAGACGATGGTCTCTCAGACCTCAGACGATGGTCTCTCAGACCTCAGACGATGGTCTCTCAGACCTCAGACGATGGTCTCTCAGACAATGGTCTCTCAGACCTCAGACGATGGTCTCTGATGGTTCTGTCTCCACTGCAGAGCTCTGTATGATGATGATGATGAAGGAAGTGAGGAAGGGCCTGTCACACACTGGACAAAGTCCTCCATGACGGGTCCATGACTGGTCCATGACTGGTCCATGACGGTCCATGATGGTCCATGACTGGTCCATGACGGTCCATGATGGTCCATGACGGTCCATGATGGTCCATGACTGGTCCATGACGGTCCATGACTGGTCCATGACTGGTCCATGACTGGTCCATGACTGGTCCATGACGGTCCATGACGGTCCATGACTGGTCCATGACTGGTCCATGACTGGTCCATGACTGGTCCATGACTGGTCCATGACCGGTCCATGACTGGTCCATTTGTGTTTATTGATTGAGGCTATTTCCTCTGTGAATAAAACACGATGTCAACAGATCCATCTTTTGATACTTGAGTTTTACATTATTGTTATTATTTTTATATATATAAAAACAAGGCGCTGGATTTCAGACTAATATAAAGTGTTTTCACACGTCCATCTGCAGCTGCAGAGAGAGAGCTTCATATTTATCACCTTCAGGACGGTACAAAGACATCTGTGATTGGACTGATCGCTCTCTTCATCTCGTATATGGAGCACATTTTATTACGTTTGGTTTGGCCTCAGCGGATGTTCTTATCAAGCTTGATTTACCATCCAGGGTTTTACTGTTTAGCTCAAGGTCATGGAGACTCTGGAGGCAACATCTGGGACTGTCCCTTTGTACAGTACCATATTTAATGACTGAAGGTTGGTCCTGAGGCAGAGAGCAGCTGTGTCTGTGACGACACAGTACGGGCTCTGACAGAACAGAGGTCTCCAACCTTCCATCTGACAGATATTTTTATACAACTGAAAAAACAGAGAGCTACTCCTTTTTGTATTCATAATAATAAAAATAATTATGATAAAACATGGAAAACACTTGTGAAATATACCTTCTATATTTTATACTTCATTCTTGCTTGTGTATTGTGCTGAAGTTAGATATTTTAATGTATTTTAGAGTAATTGTTCATGGATCTTGTCTTCCTCGTTCCTACTGCTCTGTAACCGGTGTTGCAACACTGACATTTCCCGCTCAGTGCGACCGACACAGGACCTCTCCATCTGAACCTTTAATAGTTTCCTCATTTTGGAGGATCACTTTTTGAGTCACTGTCGACTCGAAGCTTGGAACGAGCTCCTTTGTTGTGGCGTCTCACCTGGTGTTAGGGTCTTTTACCATCAAACTGCTAAAAAACTATTGAAAACATGGCGGAGGTAAATCTTCTTAATAAAGTCACATTTGTTTTTAGTAAACATATTTTTTTCATATGGAACAACTGTAAAAAGGCCACAGGGCTTTAAGACAACAGATGCTATTCAGCTTTGTGCTAATTCCACCATATTTATGTTGACACCGTTCACAGACACATGGATTAAAATGTACTGTCCTGAATTTAAATAAATGAATACAATTAGCAGTGTCCGTGCCTAGAAGCAGCTGCTAACACTAAAAACACATTTCACTTTTTCAAATACATTTCATACAAAGGCAAAGGCAGGTGTCGTTGATGAAACACAACTGCTTAGTTTTAAAGAAACCGCTTCAGTTTGTGTTAAAACCAGTCCCAGCTCAGACTAAACTCAGGACCTTTCCCTGTGGTTCTGGTGAAGATCATCTGCGTAATAATCATGTGGTTCTGGTGAAGATCATCTGTGTAATAATCATGTGGTTCTGGTTCTGGTTACTTACTTTGGAGTTGGACAAACACAGAGGAAGGTGATGAGACAAAATAGGATAGTTTTTATATTTCTTTTGGCTGGAGAGTGAGATCAGTGTGATCAAAGGTGTGTCCGTAGTCAAGCTGGGTCGACCCGAGTCAATAGCAGCTTCTCACCGCAGGGAAGACAGGGATGTGTCAAAAAAAAACTTCAAAATAATTCTTAAAAGGTCACAACACAATGGAGCCAGGAACTAAATATAGATAAGTAATTTTTTTTTATTACTTTTTTAGTAATATTTTTATTAGTTTTATAACACATAGTGTGTTACCACAGGCTCGTGAGGCAGACGACACCAGTCTGTGTGGCTCTTTCTGCACAGAGCGACCCAGGGCTTTTGCTCCGTGTGAAGACTTCTGACATATTTGAGGTCCAGGAGGAAAGGGCAGGAAAGAAAGTTCTGTCCAACAGGTTTAGAGTCTCAGTCAGAGTCGGCTGATCGGAGTCAATGTTGTTGAGAAGTCAGAAAACTGCTGCTCCATCCATTCATTTTCTTCCCCTTAATCCATTTCTGGGTCAGGGTGGCAGTCAGAGCTGCACCCAGTCCACAGGGCACCAGCCCCTCACTGATCCTCCTGCAGCTACTGAGTCCATAGGAGCTGAAATCTTTCAGCGGGGGCTTCAGGCAAAGTGGGTTAAGTGTCTTGCCCAAGGACACAATGACAGCAGACATCAGTGGGAGTCGTGAGGTAGGTCATGTGGTGGGCTCGAACCAGTGGGGGAGGGTCCCAGCTCAAAAGTGGCCAAAATGACGTGCGCTGACATGCTGCAGTACCACCCCGGGCCTGTGGGGGTGGACCCGGAATAAGAATTAGCCAATGCTAACATATAGCATTGGCAGACCTCTGGAAAACGTCTTTACAGGATGGACCAAAAGTTGGCTCTTGGCCCAAGAGTCCCACTTCTACAGCTGTGTACACAGCCGCAGAGCCATTGACAAAAACAAGGCAGAACGTAAAGTGAAAGCAGCAATAGCGATCACAATCACTGACCTGCCGATTCACACAGGATTAGGATTATCACAGTCTGTGTTTGGACAAATACAGGTCATTTGCGGCGGAATTATTACTTTACAAATTACAGACATGGTGCATTCGCACGGGACTAAAATCACAGACGTCCTCTGAGATTGGGAGGTCCCCAAGTAAATCTAATCCCGTCCAAATAGGGCTATAGAAAGTAAAAATATTGAGTTGGTGTATCGTTACCATAGCAACATATTCTTTACTTGCAGCAGTTAACATCAAGTAAACAACACACTGTTTTTGCCGTAATTTGAGATATGTTCATTGGTTGTTTCATTTGTTGAAGGGGAGTGAAGGTAAAAACTTAAAAATAAACTCCAAATTCTTTTAGGATAATTTCTCTGGTAGTCCTACACTGCAAAA